CCTCGTGATCTGCCTGCCTCAGCCTCCCAAAGTGCCGGGATTACAGGCATGAGCCACCGTGCCCGGCCCTAATTGTTTTATCTTACAGATTTTCAGGCTTTATTATAAAATATATTATTCTTTAGTTTCATTCCTAACTTGCTTACCCAGCCCTTTTGTAAATTTGGGTGTTATCTCATTTTATGTTTATAGTTTCTGTGACAACCTGTACAGTTTGATCCACCTAGCAAGTATGTAATTAATTATTTTAATGTAATTTTTTAGTTATTGTAACAGTAGGGCTGAAAATAGCCTTATTTCCTTTTTAAACATTAATTTTACTAAGCTTTTTAACTAAATGTATTGTAATCTAGAGATGTTTATTTAAAGAAACAGTCAGACAGCAATAAGTTTATTTTTCTTTAAATATTCTATTTTTTCCCCCGATCAGGAAATGTAGCCTAGTTCTTATAACACTTGTGTTGTTGTCTTTCCTTTCATTTTGTATGACTAACTTTTTATACCAAATTGAATAAGCCATTAGCTTTTAGTGTGTAGGAATGTAGATCCATAGATATTTCCCATTAGACAAAAGAAAATCTATAAAAGCAATATCCCCTGGGGCTTGGTCTTCCTAGCGGCCTAATGGTCTAAAGCACTGCTATACTGTACCCTTCTGAGAAAGAACTATGTTGGGTGATTCGCTTGGCATCCAGAAATCTTAGTTGAAGAGATATGCATACTCTTTAAGATAACTTTAATGTTTGTACTGTACCATATTTATTAATTAAATATTCCAATTCAGGGAATTCATTTCATAAATTTTTTATTTCAAAAACCATTTCTAAACAGAATGATACACTTTGTATCTCTTATGCAGTTTTCAACTAGAGTTTGCTGAAACAATGAGAGAGACTATATTTAGATAGCCACATTGTTTTGATAAGGTTTTTTTTTTCCTAAAGAATTTTACTTCAAAAAAGACCTCCATTGGTGATAGTTATACAACTCTATGAATACGTGCTGAATTGTACACTTTAAAAGAGTGAATTGTTTAGTATGTGGATTATATCTCAGTAAAGCTGTTATTTAAAAAAATTTTCATTGCACAAAATGTTTTCATAGGTGTGAAGTAATAGAATTTCAATTTATTTTATAATTAATTAAAAATTATTATCTTAATAAACATTTGAAGCTTTGGAAATATAAAATTATGTTTGACTTAAAATAATTTTTGCTGTTATTCAATAGTAACACATGCTTATTATAGAAACTTCAGAAACTATGGATAAGAAAAAATACATTTAAAAAATGTATGGGTCATTTAATTTTCACATCTACCATGTATTCTATTCCTAAGCTTTTCCTATACTTGACTACTTCCTTTGTATCCATACTTTTCTTGCCAGCTTTTATTAATAGTAAATAACTTTTCATGATCATTTCGGGAAACAATAAAATGTTAGTATTTTCTTATAGGAGTAGTTAAGTGAAAGCATTGTTTTTTTTCCTTAACAGAGAAAATGAAGATAAGCAATGACATCATTATCTAAAAAGAAATGCAATAAAGATATTATATAATAGCTTTTGAAATACAGTCATTTTGGAATACCATTGTAAAAATTCACTTTAAAACATTTTGGATTTAAAATGAAAACTGGAAATCTTTGATAAATAATATTGTGACATTGGTTCTTGTGTAGGTAGAATATTTTTTTCTGCTCTTTAAAAGACTCTTGTTATCATATCTAGCCTTAACTTTCTAACAGCTAAAATTGTTCACAACACTGTTTAAAGATAAATTCATATCAGGCTGTGAATTTTTTTTCTTGGTAAATATTAAGACCTGAGTACAAAATGAGGGCTGTATTGTGGATTAAGTGAAATATCTCAAGGCTGTGCTGTTCTGATAACTGAACCTGAAGTGACCTTTCTCAGACACAATTACAGAGCTGTATGTTTTTCCTTTAATTTCATCAGGGGTTTAATTAGTATACAAATAAAACTTCCCTTATCTTCCTTTCTACCTAATTGGCTTGTCTTCACTTATATATGAAGTATGTGAAAGTGGGCTGTAATTAGGGTGACCGTGTTAACCTTTTTTCCTCAAATGTACTGTTGCTTAAAGGCCTCAAGGCCTAAAAACAGTGCTTTGGATTATTGCTTTGCAATCACTATGGCTGTCCCATAGGTTTTCTCATGAGCAGAAGGGCTTTGGGTGCTGCAGGTTCCCACTGCTTAACAGGATCTTCATTCTTCTCCCCACTAAATGTTTATTGATTATCTCGCTGTTCCAGGCTCAGCCTCCAACAACTTAATATCAGGTGACAGTCAGGAGAGTTCTCCAAGTAATTAGAGTTGAGCATTGGGGGAACAATTAGGAGCAGAGTTATTAAACTTGATTTATCCTATTCTCTCCTGAACAGTTTCTTGGATATCAGAACATCACACTTTCACAATCTACCCTGGTTGAGAAATTAGTGGCTAACCTGCTGCTTATCATTGTTGCCTTGCTGCCTAGAGGCGCACCCTCTTGGTTTCAGTCATTCAGTTGGAAATATTAGAGTCCATAAAGTTTATCATGGGTTTTAATTAGATCAATCTGAACAGGAGAAAAGAAAAGCTGAATTTAAAATTATATGTGATATATGGATATATATTTGTAAATATATATGTGATACATATATGTACTCAAATGTATTTTTCTTTAAATCTCAGTGTTAGGATTTTTAAATATTCTGTTTTTGTTATTTAAAAAAGGTTAGGTATTAGGGAAAAGACATATTCTTGAATTGTGGTTTATGTCTTAGTGTTTTATACCCATCCCCATCAATCTTAGGGCCCACTGATGTATTTCATGATGTCATTCTCCTCTTTTCAAATGAGAATTCTATAAGTTATGATCTTTTTTCCAAAAAACTATATTATCTTTTTGTTTTCATACTCAAGGAAGTGTGAATTATATCACTTTGTTTATACCACTTTTTGTTTCTTTTCTATGCCCTTGAAATAAGCTTTAGAAGAGTTTGGTGACTCCTGTCGTTTGCCCCTCAGACATGAAAATGAAAGAATGGAAACGAGAAGATTTAGCTATGTAGTAGAAATTCTAATGTTATGATTTATATGTTCTTTGAAAGGATATGATAGGATGGTTGAAAAGTCAAGTGTGGGTTTCAAAGTCATGGATTCCCACAGATTGGATCAGCAAGCTTCAGTCTGGATAAGGTTAGAGATAATATACTGAATGCTGGATAGTCCCCTCACAAATATGCACCTCTAGTCATAAGAGTTACTGAGCAGAAGAATTTGAATGGATTGGCACAAGTGTATTGTTTTTGTTGGAAGAATTCAAGCTTTATCCATAACTGGTGGTGGACCATTAGTTTGATCTTCATATTTGAAAAATTTTTTTTTTGTTGCTTGAAAGATGTCAGAAATGCTGACTTTAAAAGGAACTCAAAAGGATTTTACTTTTTTAAATAAAGAAAGTTCATGATGCTTTAGTGCATTTATCTTAGCATTGGCGCAAAATTAGTAGGTTTAGCGTGGTTTTAAAAATTTACTCTTTGCCATGTTTTTAAAGTTGGTTTGAATCAGTGACTATTTCTGTGGTGCAACGTGTGTGAAGATCTGTTAATAGTGAAGATTTAAAACAAAATACAATGTCTCATAAGTGGTCATAGTTTGTTTAATTTTTTGATTTATATTTGTTTGACAGTAACTTGACTATTTGAAAAGTGAATTTTAAAACTTCTAATGTTTTAAAATACCTGGTTTGACTGATGATGGCTTTCAATTCACCAGCAGTTAGAGGGAATTGATTGAAAACACAGCTTAAGTTTTTATACTATTCATTTTTTAAATACTACCCATTGTGAATGCACTGAAAGAATACTGTTAGAAGAGTTTTACACATGAAATTATAACATTTTTGTTTATTCTTTACTAGGTTTTTGAAGCACAGTGTGGGTGTTAATGTGTGGCTAAACTGAGCAAGAAGAAAAATTTATGTGTATGCAGTCAATTATTTAGCTCACCATCCAACAAATTTAATCAAAAACTGTTTGATAAGCTTACTCTAGAAATTTTTTAGGCAAAGGAGTAAGAAGATTTTTAGTGTTAAGTGATCCTCTGATCCCTGTACTATTTTGCATCCTAGAATTTTAAGTGAGGTCTGGAAAATACTTCTCTCAATTGTGAGCTTCTGATTCTAAGCCTGCAATATAAAGTTGCGCAATTGCATCTTGAAATTTTTGCGCTAAGTAAATATTTCAAATTAAAGTAGACAGAAAATATAAATCAACAGATTTTGTACTTCTGTGACTAAGAAAATATTTATAGAACACAAATAATTCTGAATGCAAGTATTATTTATAACTTCATTAGTTAAAACATGTTGATCCTATTTGTGTTGCGATCCTTGACGTAAGAGTTATTTACTGGGAAGCGAGTGAATTTTATTTTGGAGTCCAATTTGTTTGTTTGCTGAAATGTCTGTAGCCACCTAACTATGTATTTATAAAGACAGTGGTGGTACTGTTTCATCTTGGGTTTACAATTTTCTTATAGATATCCTGGTCTATCATTTTCTCAATCACATGCATAGTTTGGGCATACGATAGTTCTTAACTCTAGTTCTATTTAGAATAAAATTGACTCTAAATTTCGTGTGCTTTCTACCCTGAAAACTTTATTTTTTCATCATTAAAAGAAAGTACAACTTGAGATTTTTATAATCAGATTATTTTTAGTAAGAATACAGTTTATTTGCCTTGCAGTATTTTAAAAAATAAAATGGAACTGTATTTTGTAACCAAACATTTTCCAAAATCTTATCAGTTCTATCATTTCTAATTAGTAAGTATATAAAATTTTTGCAGAAAATTTGTTAAACTTTGATGTGTAATGACCCAAGTCTACTTCTCAGTCAGTCTGTATTCTTCTTTGTTTAATAGCCTATGGCATAAATTGAAGTTAATTATCAGGGCTGACAAGTAACTCTGTTTTCTGTCTGCTTGCAGAGTCTCTCCGAGGCAAAGATGGAGCTGAGAAGAAAAGATCAATCTCTGCGTCAGCTCAATAGACATCTTACCCAGCTGGAGCAGGACAAGCGTCGACTAGAGGAGAACATCCATGATGCAGAGAGTGCCCTCCGCATGGCAGCCAAGTGAGCATTTGGACCTTGGGGAGATCACTTAAAACAGACAAAAGATCAATTCTTACTTTCATGCTCCGGGTTTTAGCCCTGGATAATACAGTGTTAGAAAACAAAAGTACAGCTGTCTTTCTTTGAAATTCTCTGATATATCCTCAAAAAAGAAAAACTCTTAACATACTAAATGTATATTTTATTGAGAAACCTCAGAAAAGTATAAGCTTCTATAAAACCTCTAATTATGCTTATTTTGGGCTCCGTTGTAGTGTTACGTGTTAGAAACTATGTTTTATTAATGTGAAATGTAAGACTCTATTTATAAGTTTTTCATAGTATCTTCTGTTATACATTCCTATTCTCTTCTGCCTCACTGTCTCTGAAAGTTTGCTCTGCATATATTATTATATACTAATATTGCAAGTACTATTTCCATAAAGAAATGTTAGCATACAATCAGCATATGTATCATAGCATTTAAAAAATACAATAAAACATTGATCATGAAAACTCATTTAATTTTTATAGCTGTATATTCTAATATTTTAAGTAGAAAAACATACAGTTTTCAGAGTAGACCACTATGTAAATGTGATGAAAATGTCTTTCCTTTTTTTTTGAAACCAAGTAATCAAGTTGACATACATTATGAAGTTCACATTGAACAGTTCTCTTGGGTATTTTTATTTGTTCCTCATATCAAATTTCATGGAATACTTTAAGACAGTTCTTTGTGCAACAGCATGGCTTAAAGAAAATCTATTTTCAAGGAATAAAGAAACATCTAATTTTGATAAACTCAGTGTTTTCTAACTTTAGAATTCTGAATTTCTTTACTTGCAAAAATATATGTTTATTAAATATTTTTTGAGAGAAACTCTTAAGCATAAAATATCATCAAATATGAATGTAATCTGTAAACTACAGAATGTGTATAAATCACTGAACAAGGAATCAGCAATCTTCAGATATTCATAAGCTTTGCCACTGGGTTTGTGACATTGCTCAAACATAATGAAAACATGAATTGACACAAGGCCAAAATATTGGCATATTTGAATAACCACTGAGAGGTTTTTGGGAAATTGTAAAGCAATATAATGATGCACCACCATATAAGGTGTATGTTTTTGTTATTTTTTAAAATATAAGTTTGACTGAATCAGTTTTTTTGTTATTGTTCACTCCCAGTTTCATCATGTCAAATGAGAGGCTTAGCCCAGGTAATTTCCAGTGAGTCTTATAGCACTGAGACAATTCTGAGATGAATGAAAATAGGCTTATAAAACCTCCAGATTCCAGTTGTATTTTCAAAACAGTGCTGCTAATTCAGTATTTTGACATGTCTATGATCTGTGACCATGGGCACATGTTTTTATAAAACTAAAGAAAGCTAATTTGAAATCTGGAGAACTAATACATTATTTACAGTTTTCAATTTCAATTTACAATTAGATTTTTATCTTCAGTATTTTCATTCAAACTTTTTATTTCATTATGAAGGCTAAATTCAATATACTAGGCTGATAGGAGAAACTAGTAACTTTGCATATTCCTAGACAAGTCACGGAGGAGTTTTCTGTGTAATTATTATAGCATAAAAAGACTGTGTAGAAAGGAAAATACTATTTTACATAGTATGGTCATTTATTATATATCCCCATCACTAAGATTTTTAAAGTCTTTTTCATTAGAAATAGAAGAATGAAGTTTTGCCATTTACAGCACATTTTAAATGATCAATAATGTAATTGTAATTTTTTTTTCTTTGTTTTTCACTTTTTTACCTTTTTACTCTCCCCTACCCCGATTTAGGACAGGCAACAAAATTTAAGATATGTGTTAAATGTGGAAATATGTCAGTGAATATGGTTAGTTTTTGTACATTTAAAAGGAGAACAATGAATTAAAAATCAAAATTTAAAAAGGTAAAATAAATTAAAAAAATAAAAGGAGAACAATGATATCAGACCCTTATTTTTTAATACTAGTGATTTATATTAAAATGTGTAACAGTTGTAGTAAGGTTTGAGTTTTACTAACACTTAATCTTTCTTTTATTTTTTCTAGAGACAAAGAATATGTTGCAAATCACATGAGAGCAGTAGAAAATACGCTTCACAAGGTACTGTAATTTTTCTTTAATATTGTTCAATTTGTATCATGACACCTAGTCATTATTTTTATTAGCCACAAAGTTCTTTAATTCATTTTGTAACTTAAAAAAAAAATTAACAAAAAGATGCTATGCAGATGACTGGAAATTTCCATTACATAGTGCTATATTGCATGCTTTTTTCAGAATTCACTTTATATATTTAATAAGACTATGAAAATAGTGGTTTCCCCAAACTGGTGTAATTGTACTTGGAATTATTTGCGGTCTTTGCTGAACAAAGCAGAGGTCATTAAGATTCTTATATGTCTCATAATGATAAAATGTTTGACCACACTGTCTAACCTCTTACCACTCTTAAACCAACAGTCCTATATGTATATATATGTATGGAGAGAAACATGTATTTTATTTAATAATACTCATATATGTAAACTAGGTAGTAATGTTATTCAAATTGAAATTTTCTTTCTTACTTGTAAGAATATATTCTTAAAGTAGAAATTTAATTATTTAATATATTCTATTGTTTTCAAATTTGATTACTCCTGTATGATAAACTCTGAGTGTTAATTTGCAGTGATGAACAGCATAATAAAAGTATTATGATATTTTTAAAAACATAATATATTTACTGACCATGTGTTTTGTTAGCACTCCACTCTGCACTGAAAGATATGTTCATTATTTCATCATTCAAAAGCAGAGAAACATTATTTATGTGTTTCTGCTACTGTCTGATAGGCAAATTATTGGAAATGCAAACATTAAGTACTTTAAAGATACATGGAGTTTATGAATGAATCATATTTAGAATAACCTTGTAAATCAGTTTTTAATATAATATCATTTTATAAGTCACTTAAAATACCCTAAAACTAACTTTTTGAAGGGTATATTAAATAAAAATTAGCAAACTAATAGTTAATGCATTTTAACATTTTAAAAACAATGGGCCCCTGTATTCTTTTATATTTTGAAAGTGACCAGCATTATTTCATGTCAACAAAAGTATTTTGGAAAAGAAAAATAATCTGAGTGCTATTTCCTAAGCTTCTTTGAAACTATGATTTCTCCCCTTTCCCATTTAAAAAAGTTTAGCTAGTCAGTATAGTTTAAATATAGTCACATTAAATTTATATGTGCCCCAAATCTGTAATTTAGATTTGCAGTGAAAGAGACATCTTTGGTATTTTTTTTGGACTTGGTAGATAGAAAAGTCAATTACGTCATATACATGGCACACCCTTTTATATAGTTAATGTTGACTTTGAAATCCAGTTGGTTTTTCATCATCCCAGTTGGAGGAAAAAAAAGTTAGACAGCAGCTAACTTGGGGAATGAACTTTGACATCAGGGAAAAACCATCACCAACATGAAATGTAAATGTTGTACCTTCTTCTTTTCTTATGAAAATGGCAAAATATATCATTTAAATATGATAAAGACTGATTGCAACAGGATGATTAGAATCATACAGTTCTTCAGTTGTAGTTCATCTTTTGATTTTTATGTCATACGGAAAGAAAGCGGTCTGTAAAGCTAGTCTATAGCCATTGTAGATTTACTTTTGCTTTATGGCTTTTTCTCTCTTCAGATTTAGTAGTTAATTATTTTGATTTATGTCTTTAGAAAATTCTATTAATATAGTGGTTTTAAAATTATCAATTACTTTTCAAGCTTAAAGTGAAAACTTAGGAAAGATAATTGGAGATAATTCTCTTTTCTGTGAGGTATGAGTGAGAATGAATGAGTGATAAGGAGGTGGCCCAGAGAGTCCTCTAAAGGTCTCAGGAATATGCACGCCCACCTGTCTTCATGCCAGAGTTCAATAGGTTTATTTTTCTGGCTGCCTTGGACTTTCCATTGGCATTTTGCTGTCTTTGATGAAACAAAGAGTAGTGTGGAAGGAGGGTCCAGGCTCTTTCACAGGATGGTAAAAATCAATATGGATACATCCAAACTCTTTAGCAGAGTTTACTGTGCATAGTAAAATAGTATGACTATTTATATTTCTTACTGTTTTAAACATATGTGTTTTCAAGGTTGGTACCATTCATTCTAGAATAAAACTAAGTCTTACCCACTGAGTTGAATTTTAATAGTAACTTCTGACACTAATCAAATAGAAGAAAGAACTTGTTTTCCTGCAGACATCATTTCTTTTCTTGGATGTTAAGGAACTTACCTGAACATATTTGTTTTTAGGAAAAACAATTACATCTGGTTTATACTTGTTAGCTTTTAAGCAACACATTTCATTCAACTTTTCAAATACTACAACTGTATTACACAGAACAGTTGGTTAGATATTATTTTCAAAATTCCATTTGGGACTGGTAGCTATTTAATAAGGAAGGTCAGTCATTTCAGTTAAAAAACATAGTTTTTTTCCAAAGAAATGTAAGTTTTATATTAATTTCATTTAGATATATATTTTTATGCCCATTTTTAATGTAGGTCAGAACTTAATTTTATAAAACACTGTTTTGGGGGGCCCAATTTCAAGGTATTGGAGATAAGAAACATAAGAACAAGAAGAAACAAAATCATCATAACTTTTCATGAGTTGCATTTTTAAAAACACACCCTTCTCTCTTGAGTTGAAATTTTGGCTGCTTTTTATTTTTTTGGAAAATCCAAAACTGTTGAACTTGTTTTGAAAAAACTCTCCAGCTTAACCATTTTAAAGTGCGCAGTTCAGTGGCTTTCAGTATGTGCACCCATCACAGCTAATTCTGGAACATTTGCATCACTCCAAAAGAAATCCAGTACCCAAGAAGCAATTATTTCTTATATCCCTTTCCCCTACATCCTGGCAAACACTGACCTGCCTTCTGTCTCTATGGATTTTCCTGTTCTGGACATTTCATGTAAATGGAATAATACAATATGTGGTTTTAGATGTCTGGCTTCTTTCATTTAGCATAATTTATTCAAAGGTCATTCACGTTGTGGCATTTATTGATACATCATTCCCTTTTATGGCTGAATAATATGCCATTGTATAGTTATACCACATTTGGCATTCATCAGCTGATGGACACTGGATTGTTTACTCTTCTTGGTTATTATGAATAGTGAATGCTGTTGTGAAATTTTGTGTAAAAATTTTTGTTTGAAGGTCTGTTTTCACTTCTCTTAGGTATGTAGCTAGCAGTGGAACTGCTGGATCATATAACAATACTTTGATAACTTTTTGAGGAACCACAAAACTGTTTTCCACAGTGACTGCACCATTTTAAATCTGCACCATTATGGACAAGCATTCTAATTTTTCCACATCCTTGCTCACAATTGTTAGTTTCAATTTTTGTTAATGGCCATCCTAGTGGCTATTATATAGTATCTCACTGTGGTTTTTGATTTGCATTTTCCTAATGACTAACAATGTTGAACATGTTTTCATGTGATTATTGATTATTTGTCTTCTTTGGAGAAATGTCTCCTCACATCCTTTGCCCATTTTTAAATCGGGTTGATTGTCTTTTTGTTGTTGAGTTTTTTTGTTTTTTTTTTTTAAATTTATTTATTATTATTATTATACTTTAAGTTTTAGGGTACATGTGCATAACCTGCAGGTTTGTTACATATGTATACTTGTGCCATGTTGGTGTACTGCACCCATCAACTCGTCAGCACCCATCAACTCGTCATTTACATCAGGTATAACTCTCAATGCCATCCCTCCCCCCTCCCCCCTCCCCCCTCCCCATGATAGCCCCCGGTGTGTGATGTTCCCCTTCCCAAGTCCAAGTGATCTCATTGTTCAGTTCCCACCTATGAGTGAGAACATGCGGTGTTTGGTTTTCTGTTCTTGTGATAGTTTGCTCAGAATGATGGTTTCCAGCTGCATCCATGTCCCTACAAAGGACACAAACTCATCCGTTTTTATGGCTGCATAGTATTCCATGGTGTATATGTGCCACATTTTCTTAATTCAGTCTGTCACTGATGGACATTTGGGTTGATTCCAAGTCTTTGCTATTGTGAATAGTGCCGCAATAAACATACGTGTGCATGTGTCTTTATAGCAGCATGATTTATAATCCTTTGGGCATATACCCAGTAATCGGATGGCTGGGTCATATGGTACATCTAGTTCTAGATCTTGAGGAATCGCCATACTGTTTTCCATAATGGTTGAACTAGTTTACAATCCCACCAACAGTGTAAAAGTGTTCCTATTTCTCCACATCCTCTCCAGCACCTGTTGTTTCCTGACTTTTGAATGATCGCCATTCTAACTGGTGTGAGATGGTATCTCATTGTGGTTTTGATTTGCATTTCTCTGATGGCCAGTGATGATGAGCATTTTTTCATGTGTCTGTTGGCTGTATGAATGTCTTCTTTTGAGAAATGTCTGTTCATATCCTTTGCCCACTTTTGGATGGGGTTGTTTGTTTTTTTCTTGTAAATTTGTTTGAGTTCTTTGTAGGTTCTGGATATTAGCCCTTTGTCAGATGAGTAGATTGCAAAAATTTTCTCCCATTCTGTAGGTTGCCTGTTCACTCTGATGGTAGTTTCTTTTGCTGTGCAGAAGCTCTTTAGTTTGATGAGATCCCATTTGTCAATTTTGGCTTTTGCTGCTGTTGCTTTTGGTGTTTTAGACATGAAGTCTTTGCCCATGCCTATGTCCTGAATGGTACTACCTAGGTTTTCCTCTAGGGTTTTTATGGTATTAGGTCTAACATTTAAGTCTCTAATCCATCTTGAATTAATTTTCGTATAAGGAGTAAGGAAAGGATCCAGTTTCAGCTTTCTACTTATGGCTAGCCAATTTTCCCAGCACCATTTATTAAATAGGGAATCCTTTCCCCATTTCTTGTTTCTCTCAGGTTTGTCAAAGATCAGATGGCTCTAGATGTGTGGTATTATTTCTGAGGACTCTGTTCTGTTCCATTGGTCTATATCTCTGTTTTGGTACCAGTACCATGCTGTTTTGGTTACTGTAGCCTTGTAGTATAGTTTGAAGTCACGTAGCATGATGCCTCCAGCTTTGTTCTTTT